TATTTATAACCTAGTTAGTATAGAACGGCCTAGAGTTATTTACCTCTACTCTTGATAGAATTTTACTTGCTATTTCTATCACGACCCTAATTTTTCACTTTAGGATGCCGCGATGACGCCTAGTCTAATACTAGGTAAGCCTAACATTCATAGATAGCTTAACATAATTAATAACTAAGATAATAAGATAATTCGATAAAACCCACAATAATTCTAAACAGAACTTCTGTAACAAAATTTTGTGGAACTGAGTCATAAGCTCTAAGAAATATACTGAAAATCCCTAGTACAACACTGTCTAAGTAAAAAGTAAAGAATAGTAAAAGTAAGGACAGAAGGTGACTCAGAGGCTGCGAGCGCCAAGCAGCTATACCTTGAAGTCTCCAAAATGTATGGTCAAATCACTTATGCCTAGCCTGAGATGAAGTACCTGGATCTGGACAAAAATGTGCAGAAGCACAGTATGAGTACACCACAACGGTGCCCAGTAAGTATCAAGACTAACCTCGGTAAAATAGTGACGAGGCTAGGTCAAGACACCTACTAAGATAAGAGAAACTGAATAAGGTATAGTATAGGCAAATAATGTAAGACGAGATGACTATAAAGCAGTTCAAAATTCTAAGCTAACAACGAAATTTAAAGCAATAAAGGCAACAAGGAGTGAACACATGATAAGAACAGCAAGAAATCAATACAGACAAATACAAGTAAGGAAAATAACTCATTGACATAGAATGTAGAACAAGAATCACAATCGAGGTACCGCCTCGTATCCACATTATACAATTCATAATCACAACTTTTCCTTATACCGCCGCGTGCGGCTTACATTTTGATATTTTTGTTAACGTTTTTTCCGAAATAGCTACACGCACTTTAGTGATATTGGACATAATTAAATGAAAGAATAATGATGGAACCATGATTAATGAACAAAACCAAGTCGAAAGCACTTACCATGATCCAATCATTGAAAATCATCTTCAAAATCGCCCAAAACCGCGCTCTCTAACTCAAAAGGTTGAAAACGAAATAAAACCCTCGATTCCACCCTTTTATGCTCAGTGATTTCGGCTTCAGCGTACATTTGGTCGCTTATGCGACTCCACATCTGTGGAAAATACATCACAGATGTGGCTTCCACTAAAGATCAGGGAATTCCGCTTTGTGGACAAAACACGCATCTGCACTTTCGCACCCCTACGCACTTCTGCATGTCCGCATCTACGGAACATGGCGGCACCTACGGTCCTAATCCAATGGACCCAACTCTGCTTCTGCGGAAGAAAACCGCTTCTGTGGTTGCGCACCTGCGCAAGAACCTCCACACCTTCGGACCGAGCTCACCTAGCCCAAATTTGTATATGCGGCCAATGGGCTGCTTCTATGGTGCTGCACCTTCGGCTATGCCCTCGCAGGTGCGATTGCACCAGAACTCAGTAGGCATCCAAAATTCTTCAAATCTCCAAATGCATCCAAAGTCAACCCGAATACCATTTGGGGCCCTGGGACCCGTTCGAATATACCATCAATTTCCAAAACACAATACGAACCTACCCAAGGCCTTAAATCACATCAAACAATATCAAATCTACGAATCGCACCCCAATTCAAGCCTGTTGCATCAATGAACATTCAACTTCTAAAACTAATGGCTAATCATATCAAACCAACGCCGAATGAGTTCAAATTTTGCATGTAAGTACCAAATGACACAACGGACCTATACCAACCCCCAAAATCACAATCTGAGCTCAATATCAATAAAGTCAACCCTCGGTCAAACCTATCAACCATCAACTTTTGCCAAAAAGCCTCAAACCAATCTACGGACCTCTAAATCAATATCCGGACATACGCCTAAGTCCCAAAACCACCATACGATGCTATCGAAATCATCAACACTCCATTCTGGAGAAGTTTACACAAAAGTCAAACTTCGATCAACTCTTTCAACTTAAGCTTCCAATTTTGGGACAAAGTGTCCCAATTCACTCCGTTTCTCATCCGAAATAAAACCAACCACCCCGGCAAGTCACATAACCACAATTGAACATAGAGGAGGCAATAAATAAGGGAATGAGGCTAAAATACTCAAAATAACCGGCCAGGTCGTTACATTCTCCCCCTCTTAAAGCAAACATTTGTCCTCGGATGAGTATAGAGACATACCTGAAGTGATGAAAAGGTAAGGATAATGGCTACGCATATCATGCTCGGTCTCCCAAGCGCCTCCTCGACTGGTTGACCCCTCCATTGTACCTTCACTGAAGCAATGTCCTTTGACCTCAACTTTCAGACCTGTTTGTCAAAGATGGCCACCGGCTCCTAAACATAAGTCAAATCTGTGTCCAATTGATCCGAGCTGAAATCTAATACCTGGGACGGATCACCATAATACTTCTAGAGCATAGAAACATGAAAATTGGGTGAACTACCGATAAGCTGGGTGGAAATGCAAGTTTGTAGGCCACCTTCGCCACTCTCTCAAGGATCTCAAATGGACTAATATACCTAGGGCTCAACTTGCCCTTCTTTCCGAACCTCATCACACCCTTCATGGGTGAAACGCGCAACAAAACCCTCTCTTCCACCATAATTGCTACATCAAGAACCTTCCGATCAGCTTTAACTCTTCTGCCTAGACTGTGCTGTACGAAACTGATCCTGAATCAACTTGACTTTCTTCAAGGCATCCCGATCCAAATCAGTGCCCAACAACCTAGCCTCTCTCGGCTCAAACCAACCAACTGGAGAATGGCACCGCCTCCCATATAAGGCCTCATAAGGAGCCATCCGAATACTCGATTGGTAGTTGTTGTTGTAGGCAAACTATGCAAGCGGCAATAACTGATCCCATGAACCCCCGAAATCCATAACACAGGAGCATAACATATCCTCTAAGATCTGAGTGGTGTGCTCAGACTGCCCGTCCGTCTTGGGGGTGAAATGTTGTACTCAACTCAACCCGCGTGCCTAAATCACGCTTCATAGCTCTCCAGAAATGCGATGCGACTGTGTGCTTCGATCAGAGATAACGGACACCGGCACACCATGGAGACGAACAATCACACGGATATAGATTCGAGCCAAATGCTCTGAAGAGTAGGTAGTCATAACCGGAATAAAATGCGCAGACTTGGTCAGCCTATCCACAATAACCCACTGCGTCAAATTTCATCCAAGTCTGTGGGAGCCCAACAACGAAATATATGGTAACACACTCCCACTTCCACTCGGGAATCTCAAGTCTCTGAAGCAAACCGCCCGGCCTCTAATGCTTGTACTTCACCTACTGATAGTTCAAGCACCGAGCCACATATTGTACTATATCTTTCTTCATTCTCCTCCACCAATAGCGCTGCCTCAAATCCTGATACATCTTAGTGGCACCCAGATGAATGGAGTATTGCGAACTGTGGGCCTCCTCAAGAATTAACTCACGCAACATATCCGCATTGGCACACATATCTGGCACTGCATCCGCAAAACCTCGTTATATAATAGAAACCTCCTTGGAATCTCATGCTGCATTGTGTCCTTAAGGACAATCAAATGGGGGTCGTCATACGGACGCTCTCTAATATGATCATATAAAAAAAGTCCGAAGAACCACGCAAGCTAGTCCAGGCTTTGATAGGGGTGTGCATTCGAATCGGTTTATCGATAAATCAAATCGATTATTTGTTATTGGTTTATCGATTTATCGATTTCGATTTCGATTTCGAAATTTTCCTTATCGAGTTATCGATTTCGATTTCGATTTTGTCCACTTCGATTATCGGTTTATCGATAATCCGATAATATAATAAATCTATTTTATACTATTAAAGGCTGAGACAAAAAACCAAACTTTCACGTGCATTTGTCTATTGTCTACAAAGGGGTGGGTCCTGTCCCTTCCCAATCTGATGATTTGATAGTGTCTTTTTGTCACTAGTCTTTGCAAATTCACCGACAACTCACTTTGATTCACCCGCTGTACCTTTTTATTTACCACATCGTCTTTTTGCTTCTCTGAACTTTTGTACTACTATGTCGTTTAGATGCTTTTTTAAAGAAAATATTTTTCGTCAAAAATTTAACTTTCTTACAGGAAAAATATTTTTATACAAAAGATATGTTTTCTAGATACAAAAATCATGCGCAGGAAAATCTTTACAAGTCTTCTACAAGCTTAATTCGGCCTACCCTTATCAAAAAGAGATTCACATACAAAATATACTTTTTTGTCTCAATTTATATAATAGTAATATTTGTATAACAGAAATGGTCCAAAAATATCCCTAAACTTTACGACTGCAAACCCAGCAGAGAAAGTGAACTCCGGCGTACTTTAGTTTCGTTGCATGTGCTTGTTGACACAATTTCTATGTTATAAACGGTGTTCGTCTTATTTTAGCTTCTTTTTGTCCATATTAGTTAGGCGTGTTTATAGCGATATACTTTTCGTGGAATCCCGTAAAATTTCTTATTGGTGTAATCGATAACCGAATCGATAAGCCCCAAAAATCGATAAATCGAAATCGAAAAAATCGAAACCTTATTGAAACGATAACGATAAGCATATGTACAAATCGATAATCGATAAGTAATTATCGATAAGGGTCAAAATCGAATCGATAAATCGAATGCACACCCCTAGGCTCCGAAACATCTAGCCTCACAAAGTGATTGGCCAACGCCTGAACATCCAATGTCTATGGTCTCTCACCAATTGGAATATATGCAAGGCTACCTAGGGGTGTGCATTCGAATCGGTTTATCGATAAATCAAATCGATTATTTGTTATCGGTTTATCGATATCGATTTATCGATTTATCGATTTCGATTCCGATTTTGAAATTTTCCTTATCAAGTTATCGATTTTGATTTTGATTTTGTCCTCTTCGGTTATCGGTTTATCGATAAACCGATAAAATATACTAAAAAAACAAATATACCCTTATTCTATAATACCCTTTCCTTTTCCCTAAGTCTCTAACCCCCTCTAAGGTTTTATGTTTTTCTCTGCAGACCTTCTCCGTCGTTCGCCGTATCCCCCGTTCCCCTATCCCCTTGAATCGAAAATGGTGAAAGGACGCCAAGGAGAGCGCGTCAGACTCTATGTCAGAGGAACCGTTCTTGGATACAAAAGGTCAAAATCGAACCAGTACCCAAGAACTTCGTTGATTCAGATTGAGAGAGTGAACACTAAGGAGGAAGTGGATTGGTACCTCGGAAAGCGCATGGCGTACATCTACAAGGCTAAGACAAAGAAGAACAACTCTCACTATCGCTGCATTTGGGGTAAGGTTTGCAGGCCTCATGGAAACAGTGGCGTCGTCAGAGCTAAGTTCAAGTCTAACTTGCCACCTAAGTCTATGGGATCTAAGGTCAGGGTTTCATGTACCCAAGTAATATATAAGTGAGGCATCACGGAGTAGATGATAAGATCAAGGCCGTTGGATGCTTTTAAAGGCTTTATGCCTGATCAAGGATGTCTGATGGAAGGATCTTCATTTTTACTAGTTAAGACTTAAATTGTGGCTTGTGCTTAGTGGAGTTACATTCTTAGTGTTTTGCTTATCACTTCTGAGTAATACTGAAGATTCAAATCTAATTAAAAAAAAAAGTCCCTAACCCTATTATTTCCTCTACCCATTCTTCAGCGCCGCTTTTAGCTTCTTTTTGTCCATATTAGTTAGGCGTGTTTACAGCGATATACTTTCCGTGGAATCCCGCAAATTTTCTTATTGGTGTAATCGATAACCGACTCGATAAGCCCCAAAAATCGATAAATCGAAATCGAAAAAATCTAAACCTTATTGAAACGATAACGATAAGCATATGTACAAATCGATAATCGATAAGTAATTATCGATAAGGGTCAAAATCGAATCGATAAATCGAATGCATACCCCTAAGGCTACCCATACTCTCCGCCTTCCTATTCAAGGCATCGGCCACCATATTGGCCTTCCTGGGATAATACAAAAAAGTGATATCATAGTCTTTCAACAGCTCTAACCACCTCCACTGCCTCAAGTTCAGGTCCTTTTTCTTAAACAAGTGTTGTAGACTCCGATGATTTGTGAATACCTCACAAGATACGCCGTAGAGATAATGCCTCTAAATCTTCAATGCGTGAGCTATAGCTGCCAACTCTAGATTATGAATGGAGTAGTTCTTGTTATGGGGCTTCAATTGGTGCAAAGCATAAGCAATCACCCTACCCTCTTGCATCAAGACACACCCAATACCAATCCGCGAAACATCACTGTTGATACCCAATTTTTCCCTATAATATTTTTTTCAAAATGCATATATACCTCCAAAACTATGCATTAGCATCAATTAATATTTTTCATAATTTCTGCAGTTTGGGTTTTAATTAATTTATCCCAGTATTTTTATTTATATAAATAATTACTAATTGCATCATAAATAGTTTTAGAATAATTTTTGTAGCTTAATTCTATCATTTGCGTTTGTACTAAGTTTTAATTGTTTCACAAATAGCCATATTTGCATTTTTGGGTTTATAATTACAATAACTTTGCAATTATAGCCCATGCATGCATTAGTACATTATTTTACTAGAAAATAGCTTTTTGTATTTATAAAATACTAATTAATTGTTTTAAAATATTTTTAGGCATGAAAATCATTTATTATAATCTGTTAATTATTTTTTAAAAATTATTTTTATCAATTAAATGAGTATTTAACTAATAGCCCTTTTATTTTCGGACCTAGCCCATTAAATCAGCCCAATTTCAATTCCCCCAATCCCAATTCAATTAAAACCGGCCGAAATCAACCCCAGCCCAAACCAATTAAATTCAACCCGCCCCAACCCAGAACCAATCGTGACCATTGATCTCTAAGATCAACGGTCCATATCACCCCTTTCCTTTGTTATCCCTAAAGACCCCTAAACCCTAGTCATTTGTCACCACCGGCCGCCCTGAAATCCTCTCTTCTCTAATTCTCTCTGAGACCAAACTTTAACCCTAGCCGCCGCCACCCAAAACCAGCCCTAATCCCTCCGATTCTCACTCGATCCATGGATTTCCATGGCTGTTTTAGACTTCTACTGGCCTCCTACTTCCCCTGGTTGCTTGATTTTGTGATTTCATGGAAAGATCTCGAAGAGATCTACTCCAGATCTTGTTCAAAACTCTCTATGAGTCCGTCTTTGGTTTGTGAGTGCTACTCTCTAGATGTTTTATGGTTCAAATCTCTGGTTCAAAGCCAGATTCTCTTTACCCCTTTCCTTTTTCTTCAAAACCCTAATTTTGGACATGAATCCATCCAGATCTTTGTAGATCTGAAGCGGTTCTGAGTCCGTCAACAACTTTTCTTTAAAAGTCTTATTTCTTTACTGTTAATCGATTCTCAAGCACTTTGTTATATTAGGGTTTGGTTTTCTCATTATTTGTTGGTTGGACCTCTGTGCTTGAAGTAGTTTCGAGTTCCCATGACCGTTTTTTTAAGATTCTCCTGATCTTCCTACTATTAATCAACCCTAAGTATTTTTTTTAAAATTTAGGGTTGTACTTCTGTTTTTGCAAAAGGTTTTCTGAGATTCTTATGTTTTGTTTAATCTTTCTCGCATGGCTATGACCTTGGTTCAATTGCTTGATTGTTCATTGTTTGACTTCAACATGTTTGTCCGTTATTGTTTGAATAATTGACTGATTAACTAAATTATCTAGGGTTTCATTATTTGCTGAAATAATTTACTGATTTCTGCTTGCTTTCCTTAATCCAGATGTTCCTAATTGGCGTCTCTTGCCTATTTATGGGTTGATTGACCCTTGATTGGTCTCTAATTACCTATGATTGCCTTATTCGTGTGATTGATTACTTGATTTATGGGTTCGAACCCTAATTGGCTGTTAAACCCACTTCTTGCCTTATTTGAAACTCAATCAGAGTTATTTATGGGTCGAATCACCTAATTTTCTGTCCCTGTCAAGTTTGATTGATTATTTGATTGCTTCCCTTACCTTATTTACAATATTTACCTGCCTTGCCTTATTTACTTACATAATTCGACTCCAATATATACACTCTCATTCTGATTCTTCAAACACGAACAACAGTTCACAAACACACTCACACACAAACTCTGCTCTCATCTCTCTCTGCTACTTGTGTTCATTGCTTGTCTAGTTGGCTGAAAGCCAAGACTAGACTGTTGAATCCTGCCTACTTTACTTTCTGGTTCTGCTTCTTTAACTGGTATGCTCTCTCTATTACCATTCAGTTAAACCTATGTGTTTCTCTTACAATCAGTATGCCTTCTTCTAAACCTATATGTTTTCCTGCTTAGCATGTCTACTACTATTTTAATTCAACTAGGTGCCCTGTTATCAGCATGATCACTTTCCTGTTATTAAACCAGTAGGATCTCTATATCAGCCTGCCTATCTTTAATTAAACCTATGTGCTTCATATTGTTCCTAATCAGCATGTGTACTGCCATTCAATTAGACTATATGCTTCCTGCTATTCAATATGCTCCCTTATAATTAACATGCTTTCTTTCTGCTTAATCAAACTGATGTGTTTGTTGCAATAGTATGTCTACTTATATGTTTACTGCAATAGCATACCTACTTCTATTTGATTGAACCTATGTGTCTTGTTTTCAACCTGTTTACTCCTGTTTTAGCTGGACCTATGACTACTTCTTCACTAGCATCTTAAGTTCACCTCTGACTAATATGACTCCCCAGCCCCACTATCCCTCTGTATGTGACTGAATGCTCACCTAGTGGCAGTTAATTAACTAAGTTGAAACTCTAAGTTACCCTGTTTCTGTATACTATTTGACTGTTGGGACCTTTGTTTGAGTCACAATGATTGAATGACCTTGTTGCTCCTTTACTTCCTGAGAATCTAAAAATATTTTTTCTTAAAAAACTATCTCTTATTTTCAACTCCTATTCTTAGAACACCTAAGGTCTTGCCCCTATAGGGTGAGCATTGCCTAGGAGTCCATGAGATTCCTCTGAACTTTGACACACTGGAGTTGTCTTTCCAAACTTGCTCACAAAGGGTTACTTTGAAAGTTTTCTGGTGTGAGCATTGCCCGGGGTCCCTGAGGCCCTTGGGAACTTTGACACACCAGGATACTATTGGATGCACTGTGAGGTTACGACATTTTTGGATTGGTCGAAGGCCTGGTCTGCCAGGTTTATCCTCTGGGCCTATATTCAGGCTCCCTATAGTTGTAGCAATTTCACTTCTGTAATTCGTTATTAATGTTGGTCTGTAATAATAATTTCTTGTAAACAGATATTGGGGAAATTAGTAAAAGGGAGGGATTCTTAAACATATCCTATTGGGAAAGGGTAGAAACCATGCCTATAGGTTGTTACAATATTTATTTATTTAGATGTCATGCCTATAAGTTGTTACAATGTTTGTTCATTTAGATATCATGACTATAGGGTTCAAATCTACTTCTGCAATCAGAAATCATATCATTGTGTGTTTGCCTGTTTGCATGCATTCTAGATACCATGCCTATAGGTTTAAAAATTAATCTTGCACGTTTAGATGTCATGCCTATAGATTTAAAAATTAACTTCTACATTTAGGAGCCTTTTAAAAGTCCAGCGTATCCGACATTTAGAAACCATGCTTATTGGGTAAAATCAATCTTGCGTTCTGGACATTTTGCTTGTAAGTCTAAAATCAGTTTTTAATGCCAATGAGGTTTTAAGATTAACCACTGCGTTTGGCTACCCTTGTCTAAAATCAGTTATCACACCTAGGCAGCATGCCTATAGGACTTAATAAATTCAATCCGTTTTAAACTGATTCTTAGAATTCTGATTGCATTTAGACAACATATTTATAAGGTATTACAGATCTACACCTAGGCAAGCCTATAGGTAATCAAGGTCTAATAAAAACTGTGGAACTATGCTTTCTTATTTGTGACTGCCCAAATTTAACAGGTTTTAAAATTAGTAGGCAAACTGATTAGGTCTTTAACGCTTTGCCTTAACTCAATGCTGCATATTCTCTACTTGTCATGCTCACCTAGATATCCTGTTCTAGGACCTCTCTGAAATATCTGAAATTTATTGTTTGAGACGTGCACTTGCTTGCTCTATTTGTGGAGGTAAAATGTGAGCCTTTTAACTATTCTATCCTTGGTCCAGTCCTACGTGTTTTGTTTGTCGCCTAGAGTTTTCTCCTTTTAATTACTGTAGGAGAGTCTAGATCCATCTTAACTTGAAGTCCTAAATACCTCCGGGACTATATAAGTAAAGGGACGGGTAGTGCACACATAGGGACATCTTAAGGTTGTTAGAACGCTTTAGGCTATGACCAAGGGGAGGGTAATTGAGTAGTAAAGGATATGATGACCAGTGCGCTAATGCCACGTGTAAGCCCTCTAATTGAGGAAGGCTTACCTGGTATTGTACAGAAGTGATCCCATAGGCCAACAAACCTAGGACCCCCTTTACCCCGTTTGAATAAACTCTATGTATTTATGTGCTTTGTTTCTTTAATGACTAATTCACAAAAAATGAGTTTGGCCGGGACCCACATTTGTGGACCTCGAGGGTGTCTAACACCTTCCCCTCAAGGTTATTTCG